GGGTTTGTCTGTCCCGAGCATGTGTGGAGAGCCGGTGTGGCGGAGTGGTTGAGAGCGTGGGGCTGCGACTCAGCGGATCAGGGTTTGAGTCCCCGCTCGGCCATGGAGCCACCTGGGGGACTTTGGGTCTGTCAGACACTCAGCCCAACCTACCTCACAGGCTTGTTGTGGGGATAAGATGGAGGGGGGGAATGATGTCGAATAGGAAAATAAATAAATGTGAAGGCAGGCTCTGGTGGATTGAGCGGATGAGACCTACTGGGATAGGAGCAACGGCCACGAAGGTGGTTTCTGCGAGAGTTGCGCTACGCTGAGAGCACGGCGAGACACCAAGATGCCCTGGTCCGCCACGGCGCTCGGCCCCTCTCCTACCATCTCAACTCTCGTCCTGCCACTGGAGCAAGATGGATTCTGGGAAGAGCAGCACTTGTGAAAGGGACCTCGGGGTGCTGGTCGACTGCAGGCTAAACATGAGCCGGCCGTGTGATGCAGTGGCGCATGATGAGGACCAAACAAGAGCCTTGCCACTCAACATGCTGCAGCCAGCATGGCTTCCCCTGCGACCTAGAACTGCACAGGACCGTGCCTTGTTTGCTGTTGCGCAGTCACACAGTCTTGCCTGACCCATTGCGACCCCATGGCCAACATTCCTCCTGTCCTCCACCATCCCCCGGAGTCCGCCCAGCCCCACCTCTCCAGTGACCCCATGCAGCCCCCTCATCCTCTGCCACCCCCTTCTTTTGCCATCTATTGTTCCCAGCATCAGGCTCTTCTCCAGGGAGTCCTTCCTTCTCACTAGGTGGCCAAAGTACTTGAGTTTCATTTTCAGTCCCTGGCCTTCTAAAGAGCAGTTAGAGTTGATCTCCTCTAGGACTGACTGGTTTGATTGCCTTGCAGTCCAAGGGATATGTGGGGGTCCCCTAACAGGTAAAATGTGCTATAAATAGGAAAACACCTTGTTTAATATAATTAGTTTTAAATAATAAATGAATATGCTGCTTTTTACGACAACATCTCAGGACAGCTTAATACAGGTCATGCAGAAAGTCCCAGACTTAAATCCTGCAGTGTCCAGCTGGGGATCAGAAGGAAAGAAATCCTGAAATCGTGGACAGTTGGAGAGAATACTGGTGGACTGAGGTGGGGCGCTCTCCCACAAAGCTTGCATTATGCAGTCACCCTGCCCCATTCCCACTGGAGGGTGGCCACCAGGGGGAGGGTGTCCGTGGTGGTGGTGGTGGTCCCCATCCATGGAATACCCTCCCCACTGTGGTCCAGCTGATGCCACATCTATCCCGTTTTTTGGTGCCAGGTTCCAAAAGCCCCGTTTTCTGAGCCCTTTTTGGACTTACGTGGCCACCCAGGGGCTGAGGCGGTTACCAGGTACTGCAGAGTCATATTATTATTATTATTATTATTATTATTATTATTATTATTACATTTCTATGCAGCCCCTTGCCGAAACCTCGGGGCGGCTTACAACATTGTGTATATTTTTGTATTATTCACATGGTTTGTTTTAGCTGGTTCAACACTTCAGTGCTTCTATTATAATAAAAAATACTTCTTGCTACGTCTTGTGTAAATTGCCCAGACGGCTTTAGCTGTGGGGTGGAAGAGAAATGGAACAATAACTTTACTGGGGGGGGGGGCGTCCAGGCATTGCATTTCACCGATACCCGTTCTGTATTTTCGTACCACATGGTGGAAATATGGACAATGCATTTTGCTGGGCAGTGCAAAGCAGTGTCTGTCCGAAAACTCCCCATGCTCTTTAAAAGCCATAGCGTGGGGGGGGGGGGCGTGTATGAGGGCTGGATCCCCCATCTTGCATACGCAGCCCCCAATTTCTGGGCCAGCTTCCGCCCCGCCATCCCGCTGCCCCTGCCAGCACGACTTCCGCGCCAGGCCGGGTTTTGTTGCTGCCCCCGCGGAGCTGGCCATGGTGCTGAGCCCGTCCGGGCGGCGAGGTTCGGCCCCACGCGCAGCGCCTTCCACCTCTGGACCGAAAGCAGGATGAGGCCCCCGGGCGGCGGTGCTGCGCCAGGCCTGGCCGCGGGGAGCCCCTGGGCAAGGCGACGGGCCCTCTCCACCCCACGCGCCCAGGGAGGCGTCCGGGGCCGGGAAGACGCCAGGCGGGGCGGCAGGAGGGCGGGCGAAGTCCTGGGGGGTCCGGTCCCGCCGGGCCCCTCCCGCGCGTGGCGGCTCAGTGCCCGAGGCCGGGGGCCGCCGAGAGGGAGCAGCGGCTCAGTCCCGGCTTCTCGGCGGAGGGGAGCGGGCGCTCGGCACATGCTCAGAGGCGCAGTGCCCGCACCTGGGCGCCCCGGATGCGCGTGGCGGGGCGGAGGGCGCGCTGCCCCGCCCCGTTGCCAGGCAGATTAGCCGCGCCGCGCACGCACGTACCTCGGCCGCCAGGTAAGGGCTGGGCGCGGCGCGGCGGGCGATAGGCCGGCAGGTGCGGGGCAGCGCGCCCATTGGCCGCGCCGGCGCCGCCATGTTGGGGGCGGAGTGGCGCGGGTCGGGCCAGCCGGCTCGCGGAGGGGCGGGCGGAGGACGCGGCCGCGCGCCCCTCCCCCTCCCCCCCGCTCGGAAGTTGAGCCAACTTCCTGGGGTGGGTGGCGCGCGCGCGCGCGTGGGCGGGGGCGGGCCCGGAGGAGGAGGAGGAGGAGGAGGAAGAGGGAGGAGAGCGAGAGCGGGGCTCGCCCGCCGGGAAAGTTTGGGGCGGGCGCCGAAAGGCCCGCGCTGCTGTTGCTGCTGCCCCGCGCGCTGTGCCCTCCGCGTCGCCGAGCCGAGCGGGCCGCCTCCCCGCGAGCGGAGGGCGTGGACGACCGGACCGCCTGGAGGGACTGCTTCCCCGCGCGCGCGCGCGCGCCCAGGTCCCTGCCCCGCGGAGCTTGCAGCGGCTGGGCGCCGGACCGAGCGGGGTAAGGCGGCGGCGCGGGGCGCTCCCCTGGCAGCTGCTGGGGCGTGGGGGGCGGGGGGCGTGCCCCCTCGCTGTCCGCGGGTCTCACGGGGCCGCGCGCACACCGTTTACGTAACGCCGCGAAGTGGGGGGGGGGCCTCCCCGCCGTGCGTCAGCCGCACCTGGGGTGAGGGAGGCGCGGACTCGGCGGTCGCTCCGGTGGCTTCACCTCGCCGGGGCGGAAGGGGAAGTGGGGCTCCTGCGGCCAGGTATGTACCTGTGCGGGGGGGAGAGCGAGTGAGGCCGAAGGGTGGTCGAGCGCTTGAAGGAAGGGGTGGATGGAAAGGGAGCGCGAGCGTGGGGCGGATGGGCGGTCAATGAGCTTGTCGTTTTGGTGAATGAGCTGCGGGGCAATTACCTGAGTGGCAGGACAGCGGAAGGGGTCTGGGCACTTCTGGGTCCTTTGCATACTTACCTGTACAACTCAGTGAGCCTGACTCTTGGAACAACACGGGTGTTTCTGATTATGTTCTAAGTCTGGGGAACTGCAGGGAAAGGGCAGCATATTCTGGGGAGAGAGGGCTGTCGGATTCTCTGAAACATTAGTCCTGGTAGCTCCTTCAGACAGAAAAAAGGAGCGAAAGAAACCCTGAGGAAAAGATGCTGGGGTGTGGAAAGAGAACTGAGAGGAGTTTACCTGTGGGACTCGGGTCTTAAGGGCGCAAGCAAGGTTTGACAGTGGGGCATGAGGCTTCCTGTCCCTTAAGGAACGCGAAGGACACATGTGTTAGCAGGCAATATTCACTGATGGGCTTGATTGACAGCTCACAACTTTTAAGGCCTGTCTTGGAAATTTGAGGGGCTGCTTGAAATCCACCCTCTTAATTAAAGTATGGACTGTTTAAACAAAAGTGTCTGAGTTGTGTTTAAACAAAAGTGTCTGAGTTGTGTTTAAACAAAATGTCTGAGTTGTGTTTAAATAAAAGTATCTAAGGCTGTGTCTTCTTAGCTCTCTTAGGAACTTCTTAAACAATGCAGTACTGGATGTCTTTGGTAATACTGTACTGAGAAGCTGAAGTTTTCCATGCATCCCCTTAAACCTACTTTTATCTCGGGGAGAGTGGAGGCGGAGAAGCTCTATTTCCTGAATGCAGAGATTGCCTAGAGAATTTGCTAGCAGCAGGGTAGATGATTTAGCAATGTTGCTTCATCTGAAAAGTGACTTCCCACCTTCAGGCCCAACCATTTTAGCGTGTATACGATGCTCTGTTTTATATATGGAAGGGAGAACATGTTCAGAGCTGCGAATTTGATCCCGGTGTGTAGTAAGACTGCTAATAAAAATTCTGAACATTCCCTGCAGGGGTTAAACTTATGTACATACCTTACATGCCAGAGAGAAGGAGGTTGTAAGCTTGAGCGCCTCTTCTGCTTCCCCGTTGCATTTTTGAAATCCTAGGAAATGATGGAAGAAGGGAGAAAACATAAGGAGCTGTCTTGTCACCTTGAAAAAGTTGATTGAACCCCCCCCACTTCATATTTGCACATATTAGTCTCCTCTGTACAAGTCTGAAATATTGGTAACTTTCCTTTCCATAACACGGGGAAGCAAATGGTTTGTCTCAGTGTTGTGCCTTATCTTTCTTCCCTTTCCAAGTTTGCAAGCAAGCTACTCCACCCATATATTCTCTAAGAAATTTAGCAGTACTCGGAAGGTGAAGGTGTCACAAGCCAGCTAGAAAATTTGTTTGCAGAGTTAAGATTTGCAATAAGTTATTACTGGCTAGAGTGCTACCTGACTTCTAGCATGCCGTTTTAAATTGATTTTCGCTTGCTTTAAATGAATTGCCCTGCATTTCGGAATATTGATTTTTATATGCAATAGGTGTTTGTAAGCAGCTTTCACGAAAACTTTAGCATTTCTGTAACAAGAAAATTAGGGTACTGGAAAAATGTGAACATGAAATGCCCCATTGATTGTCTTGATTTCTTGTATGTCGGTTTATTGTTAGCGCTCTATCTGTTCTGTTTTCCAGTTATTTCTCTGCTTTGTTCATTTATGCCTTTCTTGCTTCCTTGTAGTCTGGTGCAGTATTACTTCAGAAGAAACAGTTTGAAAACTTCACCTGCTCATGTATTACAACTCTCTACATTCGTTGAGTGATTGGGAAGACAGGACAATAGACACATAATTTGTTTTCCACTTTGGTTACCGTCAGTATCATGCCCAGCAGAATGGGATCAAAAATGAACATGAAGAGGGATTTTATCAGAGTAAAAACTCATTATAATGGGTAAGTGATATTTGGAGGTGGGGGTTGCAATTTGAATGCTATTTTTTCTACATCTTCTATTTTGTGCAGGCTGCAGTTTTGTGCTAATAATCCATTGGATTTTCTTTTGTGGTGTGGGCATTGTGAAATTTGGCAGGAAATGTTAGTCCTATTTGTATGGTGATTGGGTGCAAAATTTGTGCTCTTGAATGAAGCGAATTTAAAGACATTCTGGGAAGGGTACAAGCCCTATAGAATCCAGAGAGGTAAAAAAGTATTTCATATTCTTAATGAAATAACAAAGCTCTTAATTTTGAGAGCTTTGTTTTTATCCATTTTTAGTGATGAGAATGAACTTTTACCTATAAGGACATGACTTGATTTCTCTTGACAACATCTCCTTTGCAAGTGACTCTCACAGTGACAGACTGTCAGAAAAAAACGGATGGCCACAATATGGTCCATTACAGAGAAACTGACATATAACCTGAGTGTCTAAAGGACTTGAAATTAGGGGCATGTTTATTCCCGTTCATTAAGAGCATGGGACTGGAACTCAGGCGATCTGGGTCCTAGTCCCCGCTCGACTATGGAGCCAGCTGGGTGACTTTGGGCCAGTCACAGACTCTCAGCCCGACCTACCTCACAGGGTTGTTGTTGTGGGGATAAGATGGAGGAGGAGAATGATGTCAGCTGCCTTGAGCCCTTTGTAGGAAAAAGGCAGGCTATAAATCGAAAAATAAATAAAATTCTTTCATATGGACTCTGATCTGCCTGCCATGCAGTGTAAATTTCGGAGCGGCATTCCATACATGATTTCCAGCCATGTAACTTCTGTGTCCTGAGAATGACATGTCTCATATTATAATATGAGACATGATTATAATATTATATCATTATAATATTATATATTATATAATATTATAATATTATATCATAATATTATATAATATCTCATATTATAATATGAGACATATTATAATATAATATATTATAATATATATTATAATATAATATAAACCAGGAATAATACAAGATTTAAAAGATGGAGGTGGGAGAGTAAGTTAATTCACTTTTTGGCATAGCTAAATGTTACCACTTAGAGCAGGGCTTCTGGTCTCGGTCTGGCCCACACCAGAATCCCAGCCTGGCCCTTGAGAGGGCTCTCCAGATCATCTCCTGCCAATCATTTGGGGTCTTCCAGCTTTTGTGAGTTTTTCGTATTCTAAAAGACTGGACTCCCTCTCTTAAGATTAGTTACCAGCCCTAAAGAGCTTTAAGGTAGTTTGGTGTAGTGGTCAGTGCTCGAACGTGACTTGGGAGATCCAGTTCTAGCCCCTACTCAGCCATGAGGGCTCCCTGGTTAACTTTGGGGCACTCACTGTCACTCATGCTGACCTACCTCACAGGGCTGTTGTGAAGATAAAACGGAGAGGAGAGCCACATAAGCTCCTTGGGTTCCTTGCCAGAGCAGGGAAGGCAGAGTTTAAATAACAAGCTAAAATATGTGGGGGTCTTTTGCCCTTAGCTACCTCTGGAACGCATGCCCCTCTCACCCTCTCCAAAATTGAATTCAGCCCTTGGTCTAGAGCCATATATAGTGTCACTCCTGCAATGTGGGGATGCTGTGATTTTTCTAAAAGATTTTGTTGTGAGATCTGCCTCTGAAGCAGCAGAATAATGCCATTTTGTATCTTGTGCTGAGGATGAGGTTTACCAATAGCTATTTGTTTGCTTAGATTTGTTACAGCTATTTGTTTGCTTATACAAACGCTAACACGAAAAGAATGTTGGCGTCTTAGTCACACTGTTTGTGCCATGTGAGTGTTCTCAATGCAAAGATAGAGCTCGAAAAGAATATACATCCTAGTTAATTATACGCCTGCATTCATAGCAAAGACGATGTAATGCTAGCTAGAACCTATGTACATGTTACTGGCTTGGGAGTGGATTCCATGAGGCTTCGTAGAATTGCTGAGTAAACTAGAAATAACAGTCGAATATGAACATTCCCTTGGGAATACTTCAGGAGGGATTAGGGTTGATTGACATGCTAGTCAGCCTATTCGTCATTGCATGTAGTAACACACCTTGAATAACTGTTGACAAAATGAATCCGTACGGCATTTTTAAGTTCATCATGGCTCATTTTAATTCTAAGGCATTCCAAATGTCACTGTGAGAAGTGACTTCATTTTCGTTCTCTGGGCAACATTTTTCTTAGCCTGCTATAAAATGGGTTCAGTGTAAAATCTCTAACGAGCATCCACTGCTGTCCCACGGAAGATATCAGCAATAGTTTCCCTACTTATTTCATTTGGCTTTATTGAGCCTACACAAAGGACTGTAGGACTTTATCAAATCACAGGATAAAGTGTGGCATGGCAGAATTCCAGCGTGTCTCCTGGATTCCCGCTTTCGTTCGATCGGACATGCCGAACTGCAGGAAGATGTGGATGTCAAACCACATAATTAGTGTCAAGAATTAGTCAGGGAGGTGCTAAATCTTTTATGTTGCCTGTGTGTGGTACAACACACCTTTGCCATCGTGATGAAGAGACTTGCCGACAATAGATGCAGGAAGGCGCCATGGCATTTCTGAGTGTTAAGTGTGTCTCCATGGAAGTTTGGGAGGGTGGATATTTGTGTAACTTGGGTGTGGTGGCGCTAAAAGTAGCATCGCAGATTATGCCGGATGACTAAAGGGTAGGTCACGCTTGTATAATCTTCCTCCTTGCACAGGATTCCTTGTTTCGCTTTGCTCATGTGCAGGTTTTTGAACTTTTGAATTCTGACTAAATTGCCGAGGAATGTGAGAAATGCTTTTTACTAAGAATAGGTGCTTAATTTTCCAAATGTTTTGCCACATGGTGGGGTCAGGCTTAATACTGAGTGAAGATCAGCCTTTCCCAATGGAATTAAATGTCAGCCACCGCTGAATCCTTGTTATCTGATTCCTTGAAAGCAGCGGTGTCTTGTGCGTTCTGGGGTTTAACTGGCTTCGGTGTGAGGATACAAAATGAAAGCACAGGAAAGTTTTAATTGTGCTTTAAATAATGCGTGTACACATTCTGTTATAAATGGTTTATTAGTGTGCTATATGTTCAGTCATTTCTCAAACCATGTATTGTTTTGTGAAAATCTTGGTGTTTGTGCGTGCGTGCGTCTGCCCCCAAGCTTCTGCAACTGGAAGAGTTTCTCTTGATTTGCACATAGCTTTGGCACACAGGTTTTACACACCCTGGGGTGTGGAAGCAAAACTACTCTAGGTTTTTATGCTTGTAGTAACAGTGGAGAGTCCATGGCTTCTGTGCCCCAGCACACTATAAACCTGTGTGTGGACTGCTTCACACCTCATTCAGGGGTGTGTTTGAGGGGAGGGATGGATAAAACAGAGGGACTGTGTCATTACGATAAAATTTAAAGGGAAGCCAAGCTCACAGGGCCATGTGCCTGGGGGAAGCCGCACAACAATGATAATCTGATTTTTCTGAGAGACAGGTGAGCTTATCAACTCAGCCTTGGCTTGTATTTATTTACTGGTATAGTAAGCATCCTAGAAGGCTTCTGCGAGATGCTGGAATGTGAAGTCGCAAGAGATGCTTGTTGAGTCAGGATGCCTTTGCAAAGAATGTGTGATTCAGAGAGCACTTGCAGCTACTAAATGCATAAATTTATCTCTTTTAGGGACATCCTCATAACAAACCTGGGTGCATCCATGAACTATGACGAACTGTGTGATGAAGTGAGAGAGATGTGCAGTCTGCAGCAGGAGCAACCGATTACCCTTAAGTGGATTGATAATGAAGGTATTTCAGACTCACCTAAATGGGCTTTGGACAAATATTTCTCAGGTGCATGGGCTGCTGGGCTGGTGGATCGAAAGGTCGCTGGTTCGAACCTGCACAACGGGGTGAGTTCCCGCTGCTCCGTCCCAGCTCCTGCCCACCTTGCAGTTCGAAAGCATACAAATACAAGGAGATAAAAAGGTCCCACTTCGGTGGGCAGGTAACAGTGTTCAGTGCACCTTGGTGTTAGTCATGCTGGCCACATGACCACAGAGACCGTCTGCGGACAAACGCTGGCTCCCTCGGCCAGGAAACGGAGGTGCGCACCGCCCCCTGGAGTCAGCCATGACTGGCCTTTAATGTCATGGGGAAACCTTTACCTTTACCTTTTTTTTTTTTAACCTTTAAATGAGTTTTTGACAAATATTTCTCAGGTGAATTTTACATTACTGCTAATTATCCAGCCATGACAAGCAGCATTAAATAGGAAAGATTCAATTCTGAATTATTGAAAGCTTTGCAATTTCCTTGAACAGATGTCAGTTCTGTTGAATTTTTCAAATTGTCCTGTATCAGGGAACCAGCACAGCATGGAAGTTCTGGCCCCTACACAGCCGTGAAGCTCACGGGGTAATATTGGGCCAAGTCAAGGACACTCAGCCTGGCCTACCTTGCAGGGTGGTTGTTGTGCAGCTAAAAATGGAGTGGGGAAGAACGGTGTAAACAGGCTTGAGTTCCCTCCAAGAGGGGGAAAAAGATGGGATATAGATGCAGTGTAAAAAAAGATTTTCTGAATTCCTTCTAACGGGATTTTCCCACCTCTGTTAAGAAGGCCCTGTGAACTGCTCCAGCTAATGAGAGAAATGGGCCTCTTGCATTTGTGTGTCTGTGTGTGCGCACCGTAATGACTTGGAGTCTGGTTGTCTTGTGCTGCTACTCACGATGATGTTCCCTCAGTGCCTTGCAGAAATTTGAAATCTTCGAATCGGGTGTGATTTGCTGCTATACAGCATGTTAGCTCTACTGTGCCTCTACGGTCTTTTTTCCCTCCTGATTCGCAAATATTCTCCAGGCTGCCAGTGTGGAGCTAAATCCTTGGGCACAAGTGTGACCAACGCTCTTGATTGATTTACTGTGGACAGAAGCTGTCCTGCCCCACGTGGCCACGCCATGAAAACCAGTAAAATGAGACATGTTCCTGGTGAATCATTGCAGCGTTTATTTTGCAGGTTCATTCTGTGTGTTGTTTAGTTTTCCTGTAGTTCGGTGCTTCTACAAAACATTTCAAAAGAGGTCATGCGGAATATCCTGCACAGTCTTTTGGAACATGCCATCCTATGCATGCATGGCAGCATTTTCTTAAATGTTTTTTCCTCGTGTCTGTGAAACTGGGGCAAGGCTTGAAATTCTGAGGTAGCCATTTAAACAGACAGTTAGGGATTGGATCCGGAATGGCCCCCTGTAAGGGGGCCCAGAGGGGGAGAGTCCACCCATCGGCCTGTGTTGCAGTGTCCCCTCAGGCTGCTAAATATGTGTTGCTGCTTAACACCCCCAAGTCTGAGGTGTGCGTTGCTTCTTCGTGCTTTTTTTCCTGGCTGCCCACGTTGAGCAACAAGCTTGAGTCACGTTCTTGAGCTCTGTTGGGTGGCTGGCTTTTGAAAGATGGACTTAAAGATGGGAGTACGTTCTTCCCGGGAGAACTCCACTGTAGTTGCTGTGAGACGAGCAAAAGCTGGCCGAGCTGTTCTTGCGTAACACATTCCAATATATTCGTCTGAGGCCTTCGCCGGCAATATGTGATATCTTTCGTGCTTGTGCATGGATAGGTGGCGTCCTACTGGGGATATGTCGAAAGGAAAAAAGCTTTTCTTGACAAAGCTGTTTCTGGATTCTGACGCAGGAATGTTTCTCAGAGTTGTGCCTTTCATTGCGTGTGTATGTCGTGGCCTTCCGGGAAGGCAGTCTGGTTGCTAAAGGAAAGTATGATGGAATTATTGTACTGTTGCCATTATTTATTTGGGCTACCCAAAGAGGAGGGAGAAGCTCACGAAAGTGGCACAAAAGTCAGGGCAGAGCTAAGGAATGGAAGGGGAAATTTAAGGAAGTCTCATGGCAGGACAGTAAAACAGGGGAAATTGGCAAAGACTCTTGAGTGTATCCAGATACATTCTGTGGCTCTGCTTTGTTGGAGGTAACTAAGCAGAGACTGTTGTGTGCGGTGTTATAGAGCCTGTCTTGAGAAAGGGGCTGGACTAGATGACTTCTAAGGTGCCCTCCAACTCAGTGATGCTAGGAAAGTAATTGGCGAGCTCCCACTTCAGGCAAGGACCAACAGGACAGATAAGGCGTGCTTTTTAATCAAATGTTCCTCTTCAGCTAAACCATCTTTACACTGAATTTCATCAGACTCAAGTTCTGAAGAACAGCCTGGCCTGTTCTTATTTTTCCTCAGTACATTGTTTCTTATTATGCTTTGAGAGAAACAAAGATTTCTTTCAGCATGTAAGCCTTTATTCCCATTCATACTTCATTAGTATATTCACAGCTCCTAAAGTCCATTAGAGAGCTTAAGTTGTATCTTCTGTTTTCTTCTGGCTGGACTGTTATGATTTGTATTGTGTGAGAAATTTCAAGGAAAACATTAACAGGCTTTCTTACAGTGACGTTGGGAAAGTGTGAAGTTGTTCCACATTCCAATACCCCTCAAAAATTAGAAAAGTGAGAGAGAATTGCAAGTGTTTACAAGAAACTCCTCTTGCTTTTTTAATGCCGATTTTTAAAGGTTAGAGTCTACTTTTCAGGTATGGCTTTTCCAGTTAAGTTTCTGAAATTATTCCTTGGAACAGCTACAGTGTAGTTTGGGTTTTGTTAAATGTTTATGGGAAAACCAAACCTTTGGCATGTAGGGGTCTCAAGATTCCTTGAAGGCTTTATAGGGGAACAGCTTGTCTTAAAGCCTCTGTTAAAAGGAGAATGACTGTTGTACTCAGATTCTAGGAGTTCTTAAATTCTATTTCTTACTGACAACACACACCATGTTCTTCTAAAATCATAATTCCATGCATGCCTTCCTGGGCATAATTTCAGTGCAACTCAGTGTGATTTTCCTCCAAATAACCCATGTTCAAGTTAGAAACCTCCTTGAGCACTGCTTTTCAAAAGTTCTGCCAATTCTTAATAGCAAGCTAAGTGATTCTTTCAATCATCACAGTATTATACTATTCCAATTTGTCCGTTCCATTATTCCAAAGCTTTAAACTGCTGTTCAAATCTAGGGACACCATCCAAAGGAGAGATATGTCGCACTTTGCTGTATAAGGCTCTTTTTCACACTCCGCTTTTTGGTTTCCAAGCCTTCACAGTCACCATTCAGACTGAGCAAACACCTTCATTCTCCCTCTGCAAGCTGCTAGTCTGAACTGTGAGACTTAATACTCTCCACCCCCACAAACGGAGCTGAAGTCCGTCACTGCTTCAGATGGCATTCGCTCGTTTATTTTCCAGCTGGAGCGAGCGAGGATTCTGGTTAGCAACCCTGAGAGAACGGGAGCCAGTTTCTGTAAGCATTCTGAGCAACTCCCCTGCCGCTCTGAAGCACTCTGCCTCCCGTCTTGTTCTTGGTTCCTGCTTCAGCTGGCCTGGCCAAGATTCAGGAATCCTGCAGTTCAAAGCAGCTGGAGGAGATCAGGTTGGAGGAGGTCGCTTTAAAACTTGTGCTGCTGCTCGCAAAAGAGGAGGCAGACAAAATACTAATATTGCTAGGAAAAGTTAAAGCAAGCCCAAACTTTATCCATTATTTTCATCGTTATTTTTATTACATATCCTGCCGTTTATCCCTCTTTCAGGGAATCCAAGGGAGCTCCCATGGGCTTCCTTCCCCCCCCCACAGCAACCCTGTGAGGTAGGCCAGGCTGGGAGAGAGCCACCCGGGGAGCTCCAGGGGCCAAGTGGGTACCAGAACCCGGATTTCCGGAGCCCCAGTCCTGTACTCTAGTCACCATTCCACACTGGCTGTTGTCCCCTCCGGCAAATACTTTTAGGGCTCCCAGGAATCCTTGTTAACCCAAGGACTGTGGCCAGGATCCAGAGTCCTCTGTGGGGCTGCCCTTGAAGATGGGCCAGCAGTTGCAACTGGTGCAGGGTCTGGCTGCTTGTTCGGTAACTGGCACTGCCGGAGCGGCCCGTAGAACCCCAGTGCTGAAAGAAGGTCACGGCTGCCAGTTGTGGCCCCTGCTCAATTCAAGGAGCTTGTGTTGACATGCAAAGCCCTCAGTGGCTCGGGGCCTGGCTGTCTAAAGGACCGTCTGCCCCCAGATACACCTGCCCACCCTCTGAGATCAACTCAGGAGGCCCTTCTGCCAGAGCCACCCCTTGGGGAGACTGGGGGGGGGGCAACCAGACGCAGGGCCTTCTCCGCTGCTGCCCCCATCTTTGGAACCCCCTCCCTAGGGAGGTTTGCCTGGCGCCATCTTTATTTACCTTTCAGCACCAGGCAAAGGCATACCCTTTTAGGATTTTTTTTTTAACACTTAGCCTGAATCCTACAGCCCTTTTTATATTGCTTTCATAGATGTTTTAATTCATTGTGCTTTAATTGGTTTTAATGGGTTTTATTTTGCTAATATGTTTGATGTATTGTAAGCCACCTAAGAAGACCTCGGCAATTATAGGCGACCTAGAATACCTGTATAAATAAATGAATATGTGGCATTCGCCAGACACAGTGCCTCTTTTCAATTCCCTTTTCCAGCAGCTGCCATCTGTTGCCGAACCTGCCCCCCTCCAAAATAGGAAAGGGCATCTCAGGCAGCCATCTTTGAGGTTATGGGGGCTACTCCTAGAAAAGATTGTCTCTGTCCACCTTATATTTAAGCCCACAAATATCAGCCCTTTTATTTAAGTTTTTTTCCGCACCCATTCAATTAGCCGGATTGGCTCTCAGAACAGTTTACGAACCAGCAATCTAAAGACACAAACCCTGTGATACTTTTTGGGTACAGTGGCATGGGCTTCCCTTTTCACATCGAGTGGGATAGAGCTGCTCCCCTTTTCCTCCACGCTCATTTTCCAGCGTCCTCTCCGCATGGCGCATGGCTCCCAGAGGAATGGGCTGCGGGAAGCAGCGTCTCTCCAAATCACAGCCCCCAGAGAAAGAGCCACACATGGGGCATTTTGGCACCAAACCTGGCTTTGCTCTTCTGATGAGGTTTGCTTCTGAGGAGTCCACCTTTGGCTGCAAATCACACCTTTAGCAATGGAAAAGGACCGTGACCAAACAGGAGTCGAGGTCTCCCCAGTTGGCTTGCATAGTACCCCTCGTTCTCGCTCTCTCCTTCGCAGGTGATCCATGCACCATTTCGTCGCAGATGGAGCTGGAAGAAGCGTTCCGCTTGTACTGTCAACACAAGGATGAAGGTCTCATCATTCATGGCAAGTGATCCACTTTCCGAGAAGTTCAGTTCGCCTTCTCTGGGGAGTGCCGCCATTTAGCAGACCTTTCTGTCTGTATCCTGTTAGTCTCCAATTTTGCTATCAGACGCTCGGGACACCAAGCCTCTTTTTACTTTTTCTTTCCTTCTGAAATGTTGCTTAAATCGCTCTGAGATCCGATTCCCCTCCCACCCATTCCAGGTATCTGCACTCTACAGACATCAAGGTAGAAACATAGAAACAGAGCGAGTCAGAAGGGGTCTCCCGGGCCATCTAGTCTGACCCCTGGCTCCAGCTGGCTCCACTCATGACATGGCCACCATGTGCATGTCCAGCCTATCCTTGAACACCTGCTCCGATGGGGCCTCAAGCACCTCCCTTGGAAGCCCTTAAGTTCTGAGCTTTACCTTTAGTGCTCTCTGTAACCTGTCGGCGTGTGGCTGGCAAAGTCTGAAAGCTATCCTGGGGGCCAGTGGGGGTACATAACTAAAGCGTTCACATGAGAAAAATAGGCCATGTGGATGGGTCTGTGTTTTGCTCCCTGTCAGTTCTGCTGTTGGCTCAGTACACATGTCCCTCTGTTTTTGCCTGGAGAAAATGTTTGCACCAGTGCGCCTGGAAAAGCTCTCCTTTCCCAGATTTTTCTGGGAATTCATACTGCATTTTTATCATTGCTTTCATGGAGTGTGTAAACCAGCCAGAAAGCTTTGACTGTGGGGCAGCATAGAAATGAAAGAAATAATAATAAATAATGCAGCTTTTTCTGTAAATTTCTGCTCAATGCCTGTTGCTTCTGCAAATGTTTCCTAGTTCACCAACCCCCCCACCTTCCTGGGTTTTGTTGCCTTTGTTTACCTAACCCTACATAAGCCTGTTACCTTCTTCAGCTTTCTCCTAAGCAAAATGTCTCCAGGAAGTTCTCCTACCTTTGAGTCCCTGTTCTGTAACCATGGAAGTGATCTGTCATCAGGGTTTTGTGGAAAAAATGGTGAATCCACAGGAATGATGTTCGATAACAAATGCAACATATTTATTATTGTACATTTTATGTCTGTTGCAGTCTTCCCCAGCATTCCAGAAAAGCCAGGGATGCCCTGTCCAGGAGAAGACCGTAAGTATCGAAATGCCGCGTTCGTATTTTTTTTCCCTGTCCTTGCGCATCTCAGGGATGAATTCCCTCTTACTGTACTTCAAAATATTTCTTTTATGAGAACGGTGTTTGTAATATCTTGGGTGGCTCTTCATGCAAAAATAAAGTTTAAAGATCATGCCGCTTCTCCATATTTAAAGCTAATGAGTGAACTAAGATTGTATTTCTTGGCTTTTTAACCAAAGCATTTACGAGTGGTGAATGCAGTCGTCTTCCTACTTACCATCGTATTGCAATCGTCTTCTGGAAATAAGCTGGATCAGGATGAATGCAAAGTCTTCGTTTCTGTTGAATGCCATCTTAGTGTATGCATTCTGTTGAAAGGCACTGAACATATCACAGCTACAATGAGAAGCAAACCGTCTTCCTTAAAGTAGGGTTTGATGATAATGGTGGTGATCCTATTGTTCTCAGCTGGAATATTGCCCTCATTGGGTCACATCTAGATTTTGTTGCTCTCCGGTTCCTCTGATATCAGTGCAACTGATCCAGCCCATGCCATGGCCTGCTTGTCTTAGTAAGGGGATTTGCACATAATGGCAAGCCGGGACCCTAGACAATCGTGGTTTATTGCAACCGAATCGGCATGTGAGTTTGTGGGGCTTGTGCCGTCCTTGGCTTCTCCTGCAGTGAGAATGACTTACAGAACCAGGAACACTACAGCACACTCCTGGTTTGTCACACCTCTCGCCAGCCAGGATTCACACATTGACAACAAGCCCTGGTTTGCAGTTCTGGCATGCAAGCGAGTCTAACAACCCAGGAATCGTGGTGTGCGCAACACATGAAACTTTCCCCCCTGGTTACTTTAATCACTCCTGCTGGCAAAGAGAAGCACTATGGGAATGAACATGTGACGGCTGGCAGAAGTGAGGCAGGATTCCATGCGGTATGGGATGGCTGTCGTCTGGAAACCTAGCTGCCGATTCAGGGGTAGCGAATTTAAGCTGGATCCGGTGTATTCTGTTCAATTGCATTTATCTCACAGAACCAATATTGAACTCTTGATTCATGTTCGCTGCTCAATACACTCCAGTTACTTTGACTATCAGTATTCAAGAGTGTAACTCTCTCATCCTGCGGCGTGACACACGTATTTTGTACTCTTCCCTCTTTTTAAAAGTGGCAGTTTCTACGCATCTTAGTCTGAATCTAAGCAATGTAACGACCAAGTTTGTTCCCCCGCCACAAGAGAAGGTTGAAATTGTGTTTTCACAAAAGTGGCCCCGTTTACCGTGCGATAAGATTCTTTTGAAATCAAGGGCAGTTTCTAGTTTATCATGGGGAGGGCTGTGCAATGTGAAGGGAAATCAAATCCCTTTAGGTCTGGCCTTTCGATCTTCGCCCCGTGGCTGCAGAAACATTAGCTAAGACATCTTTTGTTCATGTACAAGCTCATTAGTCCTACGGAAGCTTGCCGGGCAGCTAGGTGTGTTGCCAGGTGCCCAAGACACAACACATCCCGTGTAGCAAACCAGTTCTGCATTTCTGGCACTGCCTTGGCCAGAAAGAGGGAATGTTAACCACCTCCCCACCTGCACCTTTTTCAAGTACTTGCTGCAGGTGCTATGTTTCCTTGATCGTTCTAAGCTACATCCTGAGAAGGCAGCTCAGGAGAGTATGAGGCCATATGAAAGGGTGGGGGGGAATCCCACTGGTTCCCTCAGGTTTTTTTTAACTGTCTAGAAATGTTCCCCACACACTCACACATTTGATGCACACCTTAACGTACTGAGGGGGTTCGAGGGTGTCAAAGAAGTTGGAAGCACTGCCCCCCGAGGGCCACCCTGGGTCCCTAGTCTGCTTTCCCAGCAGGGCCACTTCAGGCAAAATGGCCAAAGATGAAACACCAGAGTAGGAGTCACCCACCTGCTTCGGAAGAGGACTGTTCACATCAACAGAAGAGAAGTGTGTCCCGGATCGAAGCAAGCCCTGGAAGCAAAAATGGCGAAACCAAGGATGTTGTGCTTTGGGCTCATCACGTGAAGGCAAGCCCTGTTGGAGAAGAGCATCACGCTGGAGAAAGTTGGAGGCAGAAGATGGCCGAACATGAGAAGGATCAGTTCCTCAAAGGTGGCCGCAGCCTTGTTTAGAAGGGCTGAGCAGGGCTGCCGAGGATGGGAGACTTTGGAGAACGGTTATTTTTTGGGGTGCCTGTAAGTTGGTCAGTACTTGATGGCATGCAAAAACGGCAAATGGACACCTTTTTGCTGGGAAATTTCATGTCTGGAAAACGCATGAAAAGGAAATGTGCATGGCTTCCATAATTTCCAGCCACCACGTCAGTTTATTTTCTTCCATTTAGGTATTGGCTGTGAAATCTGCATGCATTCCACCTGCATTTACTTCCCCAATCACGGAATTATGTACACTTCTGTGTGATGTTTATTAGAAGTGTTAGGGAACTGCATACACAAGTGCTCTTATATAAGTAGGACGGGTTGATAGTCTCTCTTTCTGGAGTAGCTGGCGATTCAGGGGACTGTCGAATGTGGAGAGCATCGAGAACTGTCAGTTCAGCACTAGAAACTGAGTGGATCGCCATCACTCTTCCATGCGCTGAACTGGCAGCTCAGCACTGAGGTGCAAATTAGCCAAAACGCATGCTTGCCTCGTTAGTTTATCACCTTCTGCGCTGTGTCACTTCCTTCGAGGGCAGAAACGGACAAGGACATCGGCCAGGCCTGGCTGCCTCTTTTGCACAGCCAAAAGTGCTCACTTGTGAAAGACCAATTAAAAGAATAAAGACGGCGTTTGCACAGTTTTCTGGGCGCATTAAAAAAGCAGTGGCTCCAATTGAGCATTTTTGAGTTTCTAATTAAAAAAACACTGACAAATTAAAACGGACAAAGGGGTAGCAATCGGAGCAAGAGGGGTTCCACCATGAAGGACGCTGGAAACTGGCTGGAAGGTCCAATAGGGAGAACAACCCGTGGTAAGTTTGGTGGACTGTTGGTAACACTGGGTTATCCCCACCCAACCGGCCCACCATGAGGGATTTGCACAGAGGGTCACAGTGATGGGAAACGTGGCCATTGCCTCTGTAAGTTGATATCCTTGGATTCAAAACGCCTGCATATTTCTGCTGTTGTAGATGCTGGGTCAATACAATGTTTGCTTAGCACTTTTTTTAATTGCCTGCCTGCTCGCACATACTTGTGTTAGTAAATTGTGGGTTGAAAGAAACAGGGTAGTTGAATTCAAGTTCTTTAAAGCATTCCTCATTGCAGGTTTCCTGCCACTGCTGACTAACTATGATCTTCTTATTTGTTTATTAATTGCATTTCTATACTATCCATAACCAAAGTTGTCTGGGTGATTCCCAAGCCATCCATCCATATTTCTGACCCTGGGCCTGACCCTGCTTAGCTACCAAGATTCGGCAGGATCAGGTACTCCAGCCTATACAGATGCTAATTTCCATTTTACCTGGAGTAGGGTTGTAGAAACAACAACAATATAAATTTCTGAAAAGTAAGCAGAACGGCTTTAGAGCCACCGCTTTCATACCTGCGGCTGCAATGGAGCAAAGTGATTCTTGTGTTCTATTTACTTTGGTATCTGGTAGCCATGCCTGTATCGACTGCTTGCAGAAATAAAAGGAATTTGGATAGCTCTGCTTCTGTGAATACTGGTGAAGCAAGTTGATGCTGAATTGTAGGTGGTCTGAAGCCGAGAGAGTGTCCTTAACCTTAATCAAATTTGATATCGTTAAAATGCAGATCCAACATGGGACCAGGATATTCTGCTTTCTCTTTATATCTTCTTTCTCTTATCTCTCTCTCTTTCTCTGACTTACACTTGAGCTGATCTGAGGTAGCCTTGCTGGTCCCTTCAGCATACTCAGAGTGTAGCCACCGGGAGGGTTGGACTTCCTGGTGGTGGCATCCACCTGCTGGAGAGAAGTCCCTCGGGCAGTTTTGGAGGGGCCTGCCCGAGGGACTTCTCATGGCCTCCTTCAAATGCCTTCTGGAAAGATTTTTGCCCATCCAGGCTTCTCCTGGCTTCGGCAAGGGGCGGCATAGAAATGCTGTAATAATAATAATAATAATAAATAATAATAATAATAAAGCCAACCATGGCTTAATTACTCCACTGCCCTGTACTATAACTGCAAGTTGGAGCTGTTTGTAAAATTGTATTTTAAATGTGATTTTAACTCTTCATGTTTTTTGTGCGATGTTAGTATGCATATGTAAACTGCTTAGGAATTTTTAAAATATGTAGCAGTACAGGGAAAGACGGATAGAATCTCAAGATTTCGTCCTAGGTCTCAGTTTCTCCCCATCCTAGCCCACCAGGGAGACGTGTGTGGCTAAACGGGTGGGCTAGAAATCAAATAATAAATAAATAAAATAAATGAAGCAGCACTAGTACTTAAACTTGCGAACACGTTCCTGTATGTAACCGTGACTTCCCCCCCCCCCCCCCCAGCTTTTTGAAAAGGTATTGCCAAAGAACTACTTTATTCTTTGCATAGGAAGCACCCAACAACTTTCTGGATTCTCGGTTTGACTTGCTCCCATGAGTACTTCCAATGGCAGCAGGAAAAAGAGGCTGTTGGGACATATCCTGAACATCCTGGCTTCGGGAACCTTGTAAATAGTATACGTACAGTGCGTACATTGCCATGTCGCGATCTTGAGAAATGAAAATAGAGGTTAAAGACAGCCTGGTATTAACTCACAGGGATCTTGATGAGACATTTGCATTATAAATTATAGATTTGTATAGATTAATGTTGCTTGGTTGACCTAGTTCTCCACTGGTATGTTGAATGCTCAGTGTGCCGCCATGTTAGTGGCCAGGTTTAATTACGCTTGGATTCTCTGCAAAGCCTGCATCCTAGGATACGGTGAGCAAGCGACTCCTCCAAACCCAAGTTCTTAAGATGAACAGATCTTCCTTGTGCTGCCTTCCCAGAAACTGGGTGCTGAGAGAATTGGCTGGAGTCAATATTT